GGTGCCTGTAATCAGCTACTCAAGAGGCTAAGGCAGGAGAATTGCTTGAACTCGGGAGGTTGCAGTGAGCCGAGATTTCGCAACTATACTATACCATGGATAACAGAGAGAGACTCCATCTCAAACAATAACAGTAATAATAAATAATTATAACATATAATTCATATTTATATATGTTATATAATTATAGCATATTATATAATGTATGATATAGTATAATTACAATATAACTATAATAATTATAACCATTATAATTAATAAACTAATTATTATTTCACTGTGACAAGTGTAATTAGATTAGTGGTTCTTGATCCGTAACACAGAATCACCTCAAAGATTTTCTAAAAATCAAAGCTCTCACAGCTCAGCCAAGATCAATTAAATCCATCCCCACAGTTAGCTGCTGTGATGATTGACATGCCCATTTTGCAGATGGGAACACGGAGGCTGAGAGAGATGATCTACTTGTCAGAATCACCCAGTTAGTCAGTGCTGGGGCTGGGATTTGGACCAGGGCAGTCCAATGTCACAGGCGAGGCATTCACCCACATAGTGGGTGTTTCTCATGTACAGGTTCTTCAGTACAACAAGGGGGAGAGTGTCTTGGCCTGTGGGGTGGCGAAATGATGGGGTGGAGGGGGAAGCCCAGGTAACTTGAGCTTGGTCTTATGTAATGGCGCTTGCAATGATGCTATTTTCTTTTGCTTTTTTTTTTTTTTTTTTTTTTTTTTGAGAGACAGAGTCTCGCTGTCACCCAGGCTGGAGGGCAGTGGTGCGATCTTGGCTCAGTGCCACCTCTGCCTCCTGGGTTCAAGTAACTCTCCTGCCTCAGCCACCTGAGTAGCTGGGATTACAGGTACATGCCACCATGACCGACTAATTTTTGTATTTTAGTAGAGATAGGGTTTTGTCATGTTAGTCAGGCTGGTCTTGGACTCCTGACCTCATGATCCGCCTGCCTCGGCCTCCCAAAGTGCTGGGATTACAGGCATGAGTCACCGTGCCTGACTTGCAATGATGTTATTTTCTAGCTTGACCAAAATGTTGCCATGCTTATCATCTTGGACTTTCTGCATGAGAACAGGGACCTGGTCTGTAGAAGCAGGAGTCCCCAAGCCCCAGGCCACAGACTGGTACCAGTCTGCAGCCTCTCAGGAACTGGGCCATCCAGCAGGAGGTGAGCAGACAGCAGACGAGCAGAGTGTCATCTGTGTTCACAGCCACTTCCCATCACCTTAGCTCCACCTCCTGCCAGATGAGCAGCGGCATCAGATTCTCACAGGAGCACACACCCTACTGTGAACTGTGCAAGTGAGGAATCTGGGCCTCGTGCTCCTTATGAGAATCTAATGCATCGTGATCTGTCACTGTCTCCCATCACCCCCAGATGGGACCATGCAATTGCAGGAAAACAAGCTCAGGGCTCCCACTGATTCTACATTGTGGTGAGCTGTATCATTATTTCATTACATATCACAATGTAGTAAGAATAAAGTACACAATAAATGTAATGTGTTTGAATCGTCCCAAAACCGTGCGCCCCACCACGGTCCATAGAAACACTGTCTTCCACAAAACTAGTCCCGGGTGCCAAAAGGCTTTGGGCCCCCTTGTTAGCGTGTTCTCTGCTGCACCCACAGGACTGCACAAAGTTGGTGCTCACTGAGCGGTCGCCGAATGGCTAGCACAAAGAGCAGCAGCACGGTGCCTGTTGCCAAGTGACATGCAGATGGCGTGATCTGCACATGCAGCCCCCATCTCCCCCCAGCGCTGATGCTGGCTTGCCATTATGGGCCCAGACAGCCCCCATGCCCCCCATCCCTCCCACACCCCTGCTGCCAGACTCAGCACTCACAGCTTCCAGAGGGACACGAGTCCACTGCACCAGGGTCAACTTCTTCCAGGCAGAGGAAGGAGACCAGACGGTCAAAGGACACCCGGGCCTAGGGAAACCGAAGCCCCTGGTTACCCAGCCAGAAGGCCAAAGAACCTGGGCTTCGGGTGTTCGCGTCTCAAGATGTGTGGCAACAGCTTCCTGTCTACCAAGTTCTGTGCATGTGCAAGGCGTGAGGACAAAGCTTTCTAGTTCCTGGGAAACCATGCACCCTGCATGGTGACCTTGACAGTGGCGATCTGCCACCTCTGCACTCCTATCAATCAGTGACACGGGAACAAACCAGCTGCCATTCCACAGAAAAGATCTGAGAAGAGGATGGTGGCTTTTCCAATGAGGTTATCAAGCCATTATACAATTTCAAATGTTGCCCACCTGGGGGCATCCTGTCCCAGTCACAAACCCATCTTGGGGAAGGAAGAAAGAGACTGGTCGGTAAAGTGAGAGATTAAGCCAGGTGCAGTGGCTTATACCTATAATCCAAGCACTTTGGGAAGCCAAGTGCAGGAGGATCACTTGAGGCCAGGAGTTCCATGACGCAGTGAGTTGAGATCACACCACTGCACTCCAGCCTGGGTGACAATTGGCACTGTGGCTTATGTCTGAAATCCCAGCACTTTGGGATGCCAAGGTGGGGAGATCACCTGAAATCAGCAGTTTAAGACCAGCCTGGTCAACATAGTGAAACCTCATCTGTATGAACAATACAAAAAAAATTAGCTGGGCATGGTTGTATGTGCCTGTAGTCCCACCTACTTGCGAGGCTGAAGCAGGAGAATCCCTGAACCCAGGAGGTGGAGGTTGCAGTGAGCCGAGATTGCACCATTGTATTCCATCCTGGGTGACAGAGTGAGACTCTGTCTCAAAAATAATAATAAAATAAATAAAAATATAAATAAAAAAATAAAAACAGACGGCTCAGGTATACCACCGTTTCTTGTTTTCATGATGCTGAAAGGACCAGAGATAGCAAAGGAAGAGAAACAAAATTGCTTTGTGTAAAAAAGGGAACCGACATGATTGCTCGGATGCGGAATTGCTGGACAGATGGATGAGCCTGCATGTTCTGAGGGTGTCTGTGGAGAGGTCCGCACATTATACGGAACAGTATCAAATGCTGTCCATCTGGGGCGCCCTCTCCCAGTCACAAACCCATCTTTGGGGAAGAAAGAAACCACTCATTAAAGTACAGATTAGGCAGGTGCAGCGGCTCATGCCTATAATCCCAGCACTTTGGGAAGCCAAGTGCCCTCCTGGTTCTCAGCGATGGTACCTGTGACCAAGTGCTGATTGTGTTGGTGACACCTGCTGTCATAGCAGACAGCCCCTGCGGTTCCAGATCCTCATGGAAATGGTTGTCAGATTCCATGGTGGTACAGACAAAGGCTGGCCCCTTGCAGATGTCTGCTGTACTCTCTGCCCACCTCTGTTCTTGCCCGTTTGCCTCTTTTCCAGCTCCACACCATCTGTCTCCCTCCCACTCTGTCTTTCCCCTCCTCTGCAAATGGCAGGCCTAGGGTAGCTGAAGCCAGTGCAGCCCAAACGCTCCCCCAGGATGGCTCCAGCCCTGACCCCCACCTCACCTGGACAAGGGAGTGGATGGAGAAGGGCAGGAAAGCCTGGGCCTTGTTGAGGATGTTGAGAACCGTGAGAGTCACAAAGGCTTTCTCTGCATCCATGGCATTCTCGGCCACCAGAGTGTGGACAGCAAACACCACCAGTGAAACCTGGGGTGGGAGGGGGAACACATGAGCTGACAGTGAGACACACAAGCATGGATTGGGCAGCCCAGGCAAACTATGGTGCCTGCAGTGTCCACAAAGCCCACCCACCATGTCCACATGAGCCTCCCTCAGTAGATCCCACTCCCAATCCTGCTAATATACGTCCACTCCTCAGCCATAAGCTATGCAAGGCTCTCTCTAAAGACGTGGTGTGTTGCTAAAGGCCATGAGGGTGCAGCCCCTCTAGGCATCACTAGAGGCTAGGGGAGAACCTAATGCCTCTCGGCTCCAGGCGCTGGGGGGACAGCAGAGTTTCTGATCTTGGTAGCATTGCTGTTTTAGGCATGGTGGAACTTGTGACCTGAGAGTCCCTTGGAAGATGACTAAAGCTGCAGGCAGGAGCAGCACGTGAGGGCTCTAGGAGTTGGTGCCATTTGTGGTCCCCCTGCCTTTTTTTTTCCCCCCCAAACAAAATCTTGCTCTGTTGCCCAGGCTGTAGTGAAGTGGTGCAATCTTGGCTCACTGCCATCTCCACCACACAGGTTCAAGCGATTCTCTTGCCTCAGCCTCCTGGGTAGCTGGGATTACAGCTGCTCTCTACCATGCCTGACTAATCTTTGTGTTTTTGGTAGAGACAGGGTTTTGCCATGTTGGACAGGCTGGTCTTGAACTCCTGACCTCAGGTGATCCACCCACCTCAGCCTCCCAAAGTGCTGGGATGACAGACTTCAGCAACTGTGCCCAGCCTATGTATCAAATTTTTTAAAGCTATGCTTTAGGAAGGCTGTTCTGACAGCAATCTGAAATAAATGACAGAATGGCAGGACAAGGATCACGTCAGTGACAGGGTGGCTGTGGACATCTGCTGGCCAGCAGCAGGGAAGCCACTCAGACGCCGGATTCTACCTCGGCAGTCCCCCTGCACCTCCACCCTCCTTCTCATGTCAGTAGAAGCCTGGAACTCTCAGAACAGCAGACCTCATCAGCCGCTGCCACATTCACCAAATGATCAGATTAATTCACTCAGGCAGAAGACAGCAGGAACCCCGAGAGAACAGAATCCTGAATGAGTGGGTTTTGAGGGACAGGGTGGTAGGATCTGGGAGGCTCCACCTACCTCACCCCACCCCCACCCCACACTGTTTCCCAAGTCCTGCTCCGCATAGAGATTAGAGTGACGTCACCAGAAACGTAGACACTTGGAAGGACACCAGTGACACGGAGAAGAGGAGGCCGGAGGTCCGCAAGGCGCCCAGCTCCCGGCCCCGGATGCCCAGGACTCTGTCCAGAAAGGCTCCCTCCCAGCCATGGAACTTGATGGTCCTTGAGTTCCTGAGGATGGAGCTTGTGAGCCGGGCCCGTGAGTCCTTCTGCCTCATTTGCTCTTCCTGGGATTGGAGAGAAGAGAGAGATGAAGACAGGGCCGGTCCAGAATTCTCCCCTGCATCCTGACAGCCACCCTGCAGCAAATCTCACTGATTTTGACAAGTACGTCCCAAAGCTGCCTGCCTCTCCACGTCTCTGACCTTCAGTCCTGGTCCGTCCACCATCATCCTGTGCCTGGATTCCTACAGGAGCTGACCCGGGACCATCGCCCCAGGGAAGCAGTTGCTCTCTGATGCCCGGAGAACACAGGCAGCCCTGACCCCCGCTGGGTATGGCACCGTCAGGAAGGCTAAATGGAGGTGGGTGATATCTGAGCTACATCTTTTTTTTTTTCCTCCGTTTACATTTTGTGAAGTTGGGGGGCCTCACTATGTTGCCCAGGCTGGTATGGAGCTCCTGGGCTCAAGAGAACATCTGCCCTCTGTCTCCTAAAGTGCTGGGATGACAGCCTGAGCTACATCTTTGTTTTTTTCTTTTTTAAAGACAGTGTCTCACTCTTGTAGCCCAGGCTGGAGTGCAGTGGTACAATCTCGGTTCACTGCAACCTCCATTTCCCAGGTTTAAACGATTCTCCTGCCTCAGCCTCCTGAGTAGCTGGGATTACAGGTGCCCACCACCACGCCCAGCTAATTTATTTTTTGAATTTTTAGTAGAGATGGGGTTTCACTGTGTTAGGCTTGTCTCGATCTCCTGACCTTGTGATCCGCCCACCTCAGCCTCCCAAAGTGCTGAAATCATAGGCGTGAGCCACTGTCCCAGGCCCCTGAGCTACACGTTAAATGACCAGGAGGTGGGTGCTGGGCAGGCAGAGGATGGGGGGATGGAGCGAGGAAGAGGGAGGGGAGGCTTTGAGACAGGGGGCAGCAAAATCCCAGGCACAGGGAGCAGCAAGCCTTGGAGGACTCTCAGTGTGGCCACAGGAACGTGTGGGCAGGGTCACTTGGCACTTTAGGGTCAGGCAGGAGTTTGGGGTCTCCCATGCTTCACTGGGTTTGGGGGGGCATCACCAGAGGGCAGCTGCCTGGAAGTTTTTTTTTTGAAATGAAGTATTGCTCTGTCACCCAGGCTGGAGTACAGTGGCATGATCTTGGCTCACTGTAACCTCCTCCTCCCGGGTTCAAGGGATTGTCATGCCTGACCCTCCTCCATGTTTTTTAGTAGAGACAGGGTTTTGCCATGTTGGCCAGGCCAGTTTCAAACTCCTCACCTCAGGTGACCTGCTCAGCTTGGCCTCTCAAAGTGCTGGGATTATAGGCCTGAGCCACTGTGCCCACCTAGAAGATTTTCGAGGAGGCCATGCAGGAGGCTGGAGAAATAGCCCACGTGACAGACACTGGGACAGCTGGGCCTAGAGAGGAAATAAGTTCCTTCCCTCCATCCCCCTTCCCTCCCTCGTTCACTTCCACCTTTCTTTTCTTTCTTCCTCTCTCCTGGCCTTCCTTCCTTCTCTCCCTCCTCCCTTTCTTCCTTCCCTCCCTCATTCCTTCTCTTCCTCTTTCAACTCTTTCCTTCCCTCCATCTATCCTCCCCTTTCCTATCTTTCCTTCCCTCCCTCCTTTTCACTCCTCCTCTCCTTTTCTCCCTTCCCTCCCTTTTCCCCTCCTTCCTTTCTTCCATAGTTCTCAAACACTTATCCAGCACCTTCTGCATGCTGAGCACTAACTAGATACTGAGTCTGCCACAGTGAGTGGCCCGTGCTGCTGTGGAGCTTCCAGTCTAGGGAGAGCAAGGCCATTGGCCCCTGACAGGCACTTCCCTAAGGGCCCTTTAGGAAGGGGAAGTGCTGGGGAAAAGCAAAAACAAACCCAGGACAGGCCAAGGAAGGGAGCTGCTGGGAGGAGAGGGATGGGCGGGCCGTGTCCTTGCTGGATGGTGGTGAGGGAGGCAGCCCTGACTGCAGGGGGTGCTGGAGGGGACAAGGGCCTTCTGGAGAGAGGGTGGTCCAGGCAGAGGGAACAGCTAAAGCAGATGCCTGGAGAGATGTGTGAACATCAGGCAGATGTGAGGATGGGGAAGGGGGGTAGGTGGGGAAGGGAGGGAGATGGGTGGAAGGTGAGGCTGGAGGCAATGAGGCTGCTCAGGGCGGGCCTGGTGGGCCACTGTGGGGCCTTTGGCTCAGACTGAGGAAAACCAGGCAGCTGTGGGTCTCAGCAGAGGAGGGTGCAATGGATTTGGCTTACACAGGTCTCCTGTGGCTGGTAGTGGAGAGAGGCTGGGGCAGAAGTAGAGAGTGAGCCAGGGCCTTGCTGTAGGGATCCAGGTTAGAGAAAGGGTGGGGGTGGGGGTGGGGGCTTGGAGAGCCTACACCAGGAAGGGTGACATTCTGGATGCATTTTGAAGGTGACACCAAGCAAATCTGCTGACCGATGGGGTACGAGAGAAAAAGGCATTGAACTGACCCAGGGCCTGGGGCCTGAACACTGGAGAGAGGAGCCGCCATCCATCGTGATGGGGGAGGAGCGGGGGCAGGTCTGCACAATGAGCAACTCACAGAGACTACAACAAAGCAGACCTGTGGGCTCCCACTCAGCTCTCCCCTCCCCATCACCCACACAGGAGCTGTGGCTTCCTCCCTTCTTCCTGCCTGGTCTGTCCCTTTCCCAAAAGCCAAACCTGATGGTGGTTCCTCTTCTTGGTGATGAAGAAATTCAGAGGGAGGAGGCTCAGGAAGACAGCGATGGCCATGAGGGCAGACGGGCCCAGGAGCTGGGGACAGAGGGGACAGGATGTCAGCAGATCCCGAGGAGTCCAGCTGCCAGAGGCGTGTGAACCACAGCAGCTCCATCTTCAATAGGAGCTGGGTAAAAGGAGGTGAGACCTACTGGGCTGCATTCCCAGGCGGTGAAGGCATCCTGAGTCACAGGATGAGACAGGAGAGCAGCACCGGATACAGGTCACAGACCTTGACAGTAAAACAGGCTGCAGTAAAGAAGCCAGTCCAACCCACCAAAACCAAGATGGTGACCAGAGTGACCTCTGGTCATCCTCACTGCTACACTCCTACCAGCGCCATGACAGTTTACAAATGTCATGGCAACATCTGGAAGTTGCCCTATATGGTCTAAAAGGGAGAGGTGTGAATAATCCACCCCTTATTCAGCACATCATCAAGAAATAACCATAAAACGCCAGCGCCCTCTGGGCCATTCTAAGGAGTAGTCATTCTTTTATATCGTTGCTTTCCTGAAAAACTTCCTTTCAGCCAGGCACCATAGCTCATGCCTATAATCCCAGCACTTTGAGAGGCTGAGGCGTGTGGATCACCTGAGATCAGGAGTTCAAAACCAGCCTGGCCAACATGGTGAAATCCCGTCTCTAATGAAAATATAAAAATGAGCTGGGCATGGTGGCAGTCACCTGTGATCCCAGCTACTCAGGAGGCTGAGGGAGGAGAATCGCTTGAACCTGGGAGACCGAGGTTGCAGCGAGCCACCATTGTGCCACTGCACTCCAGCCTGGGCACCAGAGTGAGATTCCATGTCAAAAACAAAAACAAAAACCATACAAAAAACTCACTTGGCTTTACATACTCATCCTGAATTCGTTCTTGCACGAGATCCAAGAGCCCACCCTTATGATCTGGATCGGGTCCTCTTTCCTGTAACACAGCTGCAGATCCTGAAGGGGGTCAGACTTGGGTCCTAAGATGGGGAGTCAGGGAATGTGATAAGGGCAGCCACCAGGTCCCAGGGATCTGGGCTCATGGGGGTCTTCTGGGTCAGGAGGCGCCTGCTGAAGACGGGGTCCTTCAGTGTCAGGGAGGGGAATGGCCCACTTACATGATGGGGAGAGGGTCATATTCGAGACAGAACATGCACACACACGAGTAGCACTGGGGGCTGTTCCTGGCCACAACAGTGAATTTGAGACCTCTGGAATCAGGACTGGCTTCAAACCCTGACTCTGACGCTTGTCAGTGTGGCCTTGGGACAAGTCGCCTCCCTAACGTGCAATTCCCTTGTCTGCAAAGTGGGAACAGATTTGTCCTCATTTTGCATGTTTGCTTCTTACATTTAATTATTTTCCTAATCTTCATTTTACCCTCATGAGGGTCGTCAGACTTAGCAAATCATCATCCAGATGCCCAGTTACCTTTGAAGACAAAGAGTAAGGTTTTCATCTAAGTCTCGTGCATTATTTGGGACATAAACTTAACTCTCACTGAGTCTGAAACTCATGCTTCACTGCATGTCCTGTGTTTTCTCTGGCAACCCTGCTCCCTACCAACGTGGTGCTTTTGGGATAGTTATCTTCCCCTCTCAGCTTCGGTTTCTATATCTGGAAAATGTGGAAGTGGGAGGTAGAATAAATGATTTTTAAGTTGCTGTGACTTTCTGAGAGTCCTTCACAGGTTACTTGAACCCATTCTCTTGACAAGTACCACCCCAACTCCAGTCTGTGCCTCAGTTTCCCATCTCAGTCCTTAGGAACACATTTTTTCTTTTCTTCTTCTTTTTTTTTTTTTTTTAATGAGATGGAGTCTTGCTCTGTCACCCAGGCTAGAGTGCAGTGACATGATCTTGGTTCACTGCAACTTCTGCTTCCCAAGTGAATCTCCTGTCTCAGCCTCCTGAGGAGCTGGGATCACAGGTGCATGCCACCATGCCTTGCTCATTTTTTATTTTCAGTATTTGCCATATTGGCCTCTCTGGTCTTGAACTCCTGACCTAAGTGATTGACCAGCCTCGGTCTCCCAAAGTGTTGGGATTACAGGCATGAGCCACCACGCTCAGACTGGTCTTATCTGATTTTTAGCAGTGGTGGTGTCAACCTGATCAATTGCCCTGAAATATCCCGTGTTCCTCCTCTCTCCCTCTCTTTCTTCCTAATGATGACACGTATGTACTGCACATCAAGCACCGTCTGAGTGCCTTATGTTGTACTTGCTAAGAACCTATTGTTTGCAAGGCCCTGGAATACATGGTGAAGCCATTAGAAAAGGTCCCAGCCCCTAGTCCTGGCATAAATAATCATACGCACGTGCATTCCAATTTTGGGGGGAGTATGTAAGAATTATGTTCAAAATGCCACTAACATTTTTTACAAGGGCGGGCACGGTGGCTCATGCCCATAATCCCAGCACTTTGGGAGGCTCTGGTGGGCAGATCAGCTGAGGTCAGGAGTTCGAGACCAGCCTGGCCAACATGGTGAAACCCAGTCTCTACTAAAAATACAAAAGTTAGCCGGATATGGTGGTGCATGCCTGTAATCCCAGCTACTTGTGAGGCTGAGGCTGGAGAACCGCTTGAACCCGGGAGGAGGTGGTTGCAGTGAACCAAGATTGTGCCACTGTACGCCA